TTCGCTGATATTCAGTGATGGTGCCATTCTGTTTCCCACTTTCATAGCATTTGACGCCAGAAATGCATTATTTTCCCGATTTCGACAAATATTCGCAGGCTCTTCATCGGCTTCACCTCTTTCGCTCATCGACTGATTTCTATCTGCAGATGCTAACGCGTCCGATGCTTCGGAAAATAAAGCCAACGTTTCATCCGTTGTTTCTGAAGCAGATAGGTTCGAAGTTGTTTCAGCACCCAAATTACTTACGGATCGTCTATATCTGTATTGTTGAGCTCTTTCAAGTCTCTCCCTTGTGCACCGTTCATTGTAGGCGGCCACACCATATTCGTAGTTCCACCATATGGGTAGAAGAGCGAGCAGATATAACAAGCTCATCATATAGACTGTTCTAAAGTGTAATTGAAAAGGGGAAAGATTTTTTTTTAGCGTTAAAGTGCATACTTGATCAACATACAATTGGAATAAAGAGGAACCACACTGCTGACTGCAGCATTTTTTTTTTCTTTCAAGTTCACTCTCGCCTCTCCAGCGTTGTCCGCAACATCTTAATATCAATGCCATCAGTAAGATAAATACTATCTGTAACGATAGGTGAAATATTAATTTATTCACAGATGCTAAAGTTTGTGAAAAGTTGCACAAGCTTCAAATTATCTGCGTCAAACAAGAATAAGATTAGATCGGTTCAAAATATTTATCGGATAATGGCTACTTTGACCGCGAAGTTATCTACCACATTGAGTGAAGTTCTCTAAAAGCATAGGCAGACGGCAGCGTTGATTCAGATCAACCCGTTAATTCTGAATTATCGCGGAATCTGCAGTTTATCCGGTTTAAGTCCCAGAATTAATTCTTTAACTTAATGAGGATCAGGAGCATTTTCGATGACAACACTGATCAACCAGGTTCCCGCCAACAGAGGACTTATTAGGCTAATTGACTGTCACCAGATCGAATAACCGTAGGCCCAGGAAACGTGCGGTTTAAACTGCTAAGTGCGTTCAAGCAGAGGTAATGGTTAGTATCGCGTGGGGTTTCTTCGTAAACTAGACCTGCGTTTGGTAAGCCTGAGCCTGCGTTTGGTATAAGTAAGAGTTTACCAGACTCACGAGGTACACCCACACACAGCACAGGTAGTTGTTGAACTTCGATCACGGCATTCATGGGGCTAGAGCTGATGACGTTGGTGACAGTCACTCATTGAATGTTGTTCAACGCTTGCCTATAAACTGTGTACATAGTCTGAAGGTACGGGCATCGAGGCACGTTTGACTAGTCTGTGAAAATGCTCGAGCCGAAGTACGTAGTATGTGTCGGTTTACGCGATTCCTAGGGAGGCGACTTCAGAAGACATCTAGTTGCTGTACGGAGTGTAGTGCTTTGGCGGATCTGTATTTATACCAACTTCGGAAGCTTAATTGCCTTACATGCTGTTACCAACAATGTTTTTTGGCCTTGTCGCAAGAGCCGCCGGCAATCGATTAGACGACCTTGTTGCGGATAGGAATATTACCCGTCGGAATTGAAATTCCATCGACGTTAATACTATTTAATGGAGCCTCCTTCGTCCACGTTGAACATAGCGTTACCAGTGATTTTGCAAATAAAAATTGGGAATGGTCTGATAGATAGCTGTTTCGTTTTGAACACAGGTCATCAATTCCATTGCCAAACAAATTGGGTAAAGCTACTACCCGATGGACCAATTGTAACGTTTTCGAGTTGTATAGGTTTTAGCCTGGTTCAGAAATTGGTGGTAGAAAATTGTGGGCAAAAGTTGCCCACCTTTATAATGGAGTCCGAAGAAGGACGGTTATCGAATGAAATTTCCGATCGATTATCGCGAGCTTTCGCGTTGGATAAGATTGACGATAGCTGTGAGGCTACAAGAATGACAATCGGTCTCACTTGCAGCAATATTGAATTGTGATAAAATTATGTTTATAAAGACTTTTTTATATTAAACAATTCAATGCTTTTTTTAGGGGGTTTGCGGTGCGTACAACCACTCCGTAGAACCTGCGTTCGATACCTGGTGCAGGCAGAAAATGTTTTTTCTAACAGTGGTCGCACCTCGGCGGGCAATGCCAAACCTGCGAGTGTATTTCCACCAAGAAAAAGCTTCTCATAAAAGCTCTGATCCAGTACTCCATGAACTTACAGGATTTTATACGAACTTGCAGTAAGTTGCAGGAAAAATGTTCCCGTACCCCAAAATCCCCCAAAATCCTGTAAATGAGAGCGACTTTTGGAGAGTTGTGTAGAGAATGAAGTTGCAAGATTTTACCCGAACTTTTTCTTCTGGTAAAATCATGAAAATTGTCAAGCAATCACTGGTTGACATTTTTACAGGAAAAATGGTTTTTTTGTTCCCGTACTTTTTGTTGTTACTCACTTTTTACTCTCACTTCAGAGAGTAATTTTGCTGTTTGACAGTTTTACAGGATTCTTCACGAAAAGCATTGGATCAGAGCTAAAATCTATTAGCTGTTCCACAAATTGGAGAAGCAGCTCGGACAAACGTTTTGCAAAAGTGTAAGCGCCAAAACATTATTATTATTTAAAAATAAATTCAGTTAAATGAAACATACCAAAATTATCCAAACGAAGCATAGCCATTCGAAAATCAACACCCACGTGGGAGCTGCTTTGTATTTGCGTTCCTCGTCGGAGCTATCGGTTGATCTTAGCTTTGCATCATTCGCAGCAAACTCGTCCGTCAAATTTTGGGAAAGAACACGAAGAGTATTGCCTTTCATGTAAATTCACGGGAGGATCCAGATTTTTAAATTTAAAAAAAAAAACGAGTGATTATGCATGTTACCTCTTCCTTCTAAATCATCATTCACTTCGTCCAAATATGGTGTCAGTACTTGTTTTACAACTGCATCCAAATTTTTCGTGAACATATTTGATTGGCTGTAGAGCTCTTCGGTGCTATTCACGATATTCCCAATCAAGCGAAGTAATTCACTCATTTTAAATAACTAAATTGGAAAAGATAAGTTTCTGAAACTTTATGCAAAAAACTAAAAGTATAGAGCCCAATAACTTACCGTTGACATTTGCATCCACAGGCTATCCGAATTTATAAAATTCGATTTTGAATAGAAAGCACGACCCTCTTTCGTTTGGGCCAAAAATGTTGTCATATTCCGAAAAATGGCACGTGTAACTAAGAGCGTAATGAGCATTTTTTATTAAAAAAACAAAAAACTTTCTGAAAATACATACAATCATTCCACATAATAATCTCTACACAAAGTTCATCGATATCATTTTGCATATTCGAAACGGTTTCATTTAACTGCTGCCTTGCTGCTGGTGTACTGCACGCACTATCTAAATCAGAATCCAGATCCTTTTTAGCACGCTGGGAGGAACTTGAAATGATATCTACATACGTTTGTTTGACAAAATTTAATGTTATTCGAAATATATGTATGTATGTAGTACTTATGTATATATCACGCTTACCATCCACAGAACGGAAGGCGGCGACATGAAAATTGTGATAGTCAGTAACGAGTGCTTTTTCAATACTTCGCAGCTTAGTAGAATTTCCTGGTGTACTGCTTTCATAAGAGCTTTCATGCTCTTTCTCAAATTCCCGATTTTTAAGCGTCCAATCAATAGCATTCGCAAGAAAATATCTAAAAAAAAGTGCAGAGTTCATAAACGCTTGAAAGTAAAAACCGGACATAATCGCTTTTTGGTAAACTTAAAGGTGGACATAAACTTATAGTCATTTGAAAATTGGACATAATTTTTTTGTTAATTTAAAAAGTGAACATCACTCTTTTGTCATCCTAAAAGTTGGACATACATTTTTGGCTATCTTAAAAGTTGGACATAAATGTTCGTTGATTCAAAAATGGACATAAATTTATGGTAATTTAAACTAGACAAATTTATGGAATTTATGCTGGGCGTCAATTTATGGTCGTTTAAACTGGACATATATTTATGGTCATTTAAGCTGGACATCGATTTTTGTACACATAACATAAACAGTGAAAAAGTGGATATATATAAAGCTGAAAATGAAACATAGAAGATAGTCAACAACTAACAGCCAATTTCACGAAAGCAATTTAACTGAAAAATTATTTTAATTTTTTGAAATTTATATGGAAATTTACGGAAAATAAAAAATCATTTTCCATTTAAATTACTAGTGAAACAAGCAAGAAATTTAAAAGTGTGTATTTTTATTGTCCAGTTTTTTACCATTCAATTCAATATTTCATAGCCCAGGTTTAAATTATGTTCAATTTTTAAATAGCCAAAGTTCATCTTCAGTTTTTACTTTAAAACGTTCATATGACAATGGCATAAAGCTTTTAGCAGCAAGCTTATGGACATATACATACACACTTACATAATCAAAGGTACAAGAAGCAGCAGCAAAATACTAAAAACCCAACGACAACATTTTTGGCACTTCCCCTCGCAATGCAATTTGTATTGATTACAACGTCTCTTACAGCGTAAGCAAGCATAAATTAAACTGAAAATGTGAAGATTTCAACAATAAGGAAAGAAAAAAAGCTTATGCTTGAACTTACCAAGTCAGTAAAACAAAAGAAACTAAAATTAGCGTAACAATTCCAATCGCAGAGTAAAGAAATATCTTGTCTTTATGTTTTTCTTCTGAAATCACAAAAAAGAGCAATAAGATTACGTATTAGAAAAAAAATTCTAGACGTACAGATTGCACACCTAGATCTAAAGTGAGCTAACTGAAAATTCGGAGAGGAAAATTTAACTGCTTGTGGATCGTACAGATTCAACACAATTAATACAAAAACAGGTATGACAGTAGTTTTTTAGGTATTGTATATAATCATGAAGAAAAAAAAATTTCCATTATTTGGATAGGACTTACATCCAAATGAATTGATTTTTGCGAAAAAATCGCGTAAAACTTTTTTCGAGTTGATCGCACTTTAAATCTAGGTGTGCGATATGTACTTCTAAATATCTCCACAAAATATCCTGGGCCAAAAACTATTCCTTTTTAAGTATTCCTAAAATGTTCTCTCAGATACACACCCACAACGATTAAGGTACATATGTATCACATCCCTTTAAACAATTTCTGAGTGCTCAAATTTTATGACTCTAAAATGGGTCTTTCTTTCGTTATAAATTTGATTCTGAGACCAGTCAACCAGACTGACTCATTTCGGACACTTTTTTCTGAGTTGAACAAAAGTAACAAAGTTCACGTAGCAGTAAAATTTTATTATTAATCAGAATCCGAATTATAAAGAATATTTGTTTTTAAGACTCAGAAAAGCGTTATATTTCAGTCTCTAAAATGACTCCTAACTTGGACTCTTATTGGCTTGCCCTTCTAAGAAGGAAACTATGCTCTGTACTGCATCTTCTTTTAATTCATAAAGAGGGTTACAACTCAGAATTCTAAGACTTCTTTGACTCTAAAATTAGTCCGAATGTTTATAGATATACCTCTCCAAAAAAGGCAGAACTCAAAAAATAAAAATAAATAAAAAATTGGGTAAATTTGTTTACATAAATAAATTCGTAAGATTTAGCTCCACGATACAAAAAAGAAGAATTGCTCAATTGTAAAAAATTCGAAGTGGCGTTAATTTAAGATTTTCGTTAGAGGGGATTTTATATCCTAAATTTGGGAGTAAATAGTTGTATTAACATTTACCCTGTAAAAATAATGAATATCTTTTCTTAAAAACATTCAAATTTTACATTAAATTCGATAACAACTTGCCAAAATTTTTATTTTTACATTAATAAAATTTTAGTGAACATATCTTAAAATTTTTTAGTGTCATTATGCCATCTGATTATCTCACAATGTAGCTAGCCAGGATAGTGAAACAAAATTGATGATTTATTGTTAGTATCAAAACTAGAATTACAATTATCAACTTATTGAGCATTAGACCTCTTCTATTTCAAAAACGAAAGGAGAAATGTTTGGTTATTTGTTCAATGGTTTTGCGGGGGCAAGCCGAGACGGACCCATTAAAAAATTGGGTAAAATTAAAATTTTGACAGAGAAATTCCAACTCCGGCTACGCTGACCAGCTGACCACAGAATTGTTTAATAATTTGTTCCTGAAAGTTAGAAATTTATATTTTAAATGAACGTGTAATTGTTTGACCACACGTGTGTGTCAGAATTTTTTGCTTTGGGTTAAGCATTTGGACACATTAACCCAAAATTATTGTGCAAGTAACCGAGCTGTACCCAGACAATATACCTTTTGCTTGTTCAAATTTCGATTCTAAGAACAAAATGTTCGTAAAAAACCAAAAATTTAAAAACAAAATTTTGAGGGTTTTAGATATTGGGTATGGTAGCACGAAATGTCACAATCTACTCAATTGTCAGGTTGTTAATATGGCGACGAAAAAGTGACAATGGAACTACCTGGTAATGCTCTCACCCCCTAGGATTGTTCTATATCGAAAAAAGTATACCCCTATTTTTTTATTTTGAAATCAAAAAATATTTAGAGGTCAAAGCGCTCAAAGTTGTCCATATATTTTTATGTGGGAAAAATACCTTTTTTCGTAGAAATGGTTTGGAATTCTTGAAAGTCAATATTTTTCGATCGGAAAACTTTGGTTCTCTTCAGGAGACTTGCAATAATAATACCCAATTGTTTATTTAACCATTTTTTAATACTAACGATTTTTTAATGGTCGCCCCATTGCATTTTTTGGGGTTTTTGTGGGTTTTTGGCGGACCTAAAAATATAGCTGCAATAAAAAATGGTTAAATAAACAATTGGATATTGTTATTGGGAATCTCCTGCAGATAAACAGAGTTCTGGTAGAAAAATATTGATTTTCAACTATTCTATACCATTTCTACGAAAATTGTTTTTTCCCCATATAAAATACATGGAAAACTTTAGACGTTTTGAGCGACCTCTAAATATTTTTTTATTTCAAAATAAAAAATAAGGGTATATTTTTTGGTATAGAACAATCCTAGAGGGTGAGAGCATAAAAATTCCGACTTTACTTTTTCACATGCAGTTTTGGACCACCCTAATGTACATACGCATACACATATATAGGAAATGCATGAAGGGCGGTTCCAAAAATGTCAATAAATCTCGCGCTTTTCTTTAATTTGGCTTTGAATTTTGGTAAGGAGATGCGTCTGAATGAAAACTAAACGAATATTTATGATGTCGATATTTATATACATATATTACAACACGTACCAGAATCATCTTTTGTAAAATCACTCATGAAATTATCAATTAGAGGATCCTTCTTGTCTGCATCGTCACCAATAGTCCTTTCTGCAACTTCGTAAGACTTACATGGGTCCATTTGTAATCAAGGGCTGATTTATTTCTTAGTTAGGCTTTTGGCATTCGGTATTTGAATACTTTTCATGAACTACAACTGCATGTGATTTTTCTATTTGTAAATTGAAGTAAAGACCGTTGGCATGTCGAAACAAAAAAGGGTGCCGTGTTTCAGTGCGCCACGTAAAATTCTTAACCCTGAGATAAAAAATAAATTTGGGGGTCTTCTGTGTTAATATGGCGGGAGATTTTTTTCTCAAAAATGTCGTCTCAAAATGGCTTATTCGCATAATACGCTAGTTTACCTACCATTCCGACAAAGTACATATAATTCTACTTTGGCACCAAATCAGCAAAATACGTAACTTTTATTTGAAACTTTTTCAACCTCTAAATGACCTTCGAACTTAAACTCATCCTGGAATTTTAAAATGGACGAATATGTTTTTACTGAAAAACGAAAAAATAGCAATTACCAAGTCGGAAATGTGCTATCTTTTGGTCATTTTACCGACTTCCGCTTTCGCCCGGAAGTGGGTGTCAAACCGACTGGAAGGCTATTATTTTAAACGGAAGTCCATTTCCGACAACAGTTACGTATCCCTGAATCCCAATCAGTGGTAAAAGCATGCATGTCCCATTTAAAAAAATTTACATCCGGTCAGTTTAACTCATTTCGTGTTTAGGTAATTCTTGATTAAAACCGCACCACTTCTGAACTAAGTAATACAAGAAAAACTTTAAGCGCTGTGGATATATTTTCAGTTGAGTTTTTTTTTCAAATATGCTAAAATTATTTTTGTGAATAGGCTCTAGATAGGAACCCCAAGTTTTGAGGATTGAAATTCAGGGAGGTGTAATTTTTAATATTTGAAAATAAATTTCTTTCTCGCTCGTTGATATACTCGGAGTGGCATTATCATAGCTTAGTTTTAAGCTGCTACGCGAAAAGTGGCGTAAGTTGTCCCATCCATCTACATTAAAATTTAAAACAAGAGATAAAATATTAAAACGAAAATAATAATTTTTAACAAATAAATAAAATATTCCAAAATTAAATTGACGAAAAATTCTGCTCCTAGTCTTATACGATTTGTTAATCAGCATATCAGCGGCCTGAAAGGCTGATGAATCCACTTGTAAATACAGTGACTCAAACAAGTGACCAAGTGTTGATTTTTTTTAATATTCAAAAATTTTTCAAGTAAACATTTCATTTGAATATTTTTCTATAAAAATATTGTCTAAGCTTTAATTAAAACCATATAAGTCAAAGTTTAAAACTTTATACAAACTTTAGGAAAACTCAAGAAATTTTCATCAAAATTTCGAACTTT